AGAGCAAAGGAAAAGTCAGAGATAAGAAAATGTATGCCACTACTGCAATCTTGACATGGAAAGGTCAATTAAACAGGGCAGCCCACAGCCAGGTGCAATATAGTCCAGGAGCTGGCAAACATCATAGTGCCTTGTTGGGTACAAAGGAATAAAATAGGTAAAGCTGAAACAGACTGCAGCCCTGAGGATCTGCAGAAACACTGGAGGCTGTGATTTGAAAAAAAACCCCAATGTTCTAAGTTACTCCTTCTAAGTCACACTAAATGGGTCTACAAAAAATATTTTATATGAAAACTACCATAAGACATGAGACTTTACAACTCAGCACACATACATATACCCACATATACACAACAAACAGAAGTTTCTCTAAATAACATCTGTCCTTATTAAGCATGGCACACACTATTATATATATATATATATATATATATATATATATATATATATATATTCATTTACTTTTCCTGGAAATAAATTTTTTTTCCTAGATCCAATTTTTTTTCACCATCCCTGATGGTGCAGGGGTTAAAATTTCAGCACTAGCAAGCTAATGCCAGCTATTGAGTTTGATCCCTTGGCCCAACAGGCCTCTCCTGTCTGATCCTCTCCTGTCGGATGCACTGCTCCCCTCAGCAGTGATTTCAACAGATCTGCCTGTTCTGCTCCCCACTCTGTCTGTGGAGAATATCCTCACCCCCCTGCACTTCTGGCGTACACCACAGCTCTTGTATGCAGAAATAAATAAAAATAACTCTTTAAAGAAAAATGCTGAATCCAACCCACTAATTGATTTTAGAATCTCCCTCTAGAAGATGCCCTGTAGTTTGGCAAATACTGTGCAGAAGTAGTCACTGCCTGATTTGGGGACAGGTATAAGTGTCTCAAGGGTCTGGTGAAATTATAGCTCACTTTGTATCTTACTCCACTACACATTTCCCCTACTATTTCAAAGTAGAATATTCTTTTTTTTTTTATAACAGTTTATTTTTACATCATTTTGTACATTTTTTTTCCATCTCAATTGTAATCCCCGCAGGTTTCCCATTACCAAATCACCCGTGTGCCATCATCACCATAATCCCGTGCACTTCCCTCCCCACCCCACCCCCGTTTTTGATCCCATTCCCCACTCCACCCCCACAAAATGTCTCTGGTATATGGTTGTTCATTATTTTTGTTATTTTCTCGCCTGGT